GGGGGGGGGCGGGCGGTGAGTGTGAGGCGGGGAGGAGGTGCGGCGTGGAGATCGTGGATCTGGCAGAGGCGAGCGTGAGGTGGGGAGAAGGTGCGGCGCACAGCATGTGTGGAGCCGTGAACAGGGCCAACTGATCGGAAGCCGATTAATCGATTATTGAAAAAGTTGACAACTTTTTCAATAATCGATTATAATCGATTATGTCGATTAGTTGTTGCAGCCCTAATATATATATCCGAAATGTCCATAGTACAAAAACATCAGAAAATCCCTAGCTTCTCTCCTCCCCACTGGGCACCGGCTGCAAGCTTCGGTCTGTGTACCGTCCAATCCCCGCTGCTCTCCCCGTCTGTGTCAGCATAGGCAGCATGGATCAGAGGGGACACAGAGCTAATCCAGCTGCCGGCACCCAGCGGGGCAGAGAGACCAGTCCGGAGGCTGAGCATGGCGGTGCAGGGAGGAGAGCTTGCCTCTGGTGATAGGAGAGGGTGCTGAGCATTCAGGATGAAGAGAGAGGAACACAAACACTGAGCGATCAGTATTGATCACTAACAGGGTTATTCACAAAAGGGTGAAGGGTTTGGAGAAGGCAGGAGAAGTGAACAATCTAGGACAACATAGCCGATTTGGAAAAATTCTCCCATTCAGCTCACTTTCCAGTTCAGCTAAGTTGTCCTATTTTGTTCCCTTCTCCTGCCTTCTCCAAACTCTTCACCCTTTTGTGAATAACCCTGTTAGTGTTTGTTAATAACTGAGGACGTAGTGAATACAATGTCCCCAGATATAAATGAACACGAAGTGGCTCAGTACAGAGGCTTCCTGTCTATTGATGACCGGGTTGATAGTAAATATCTCCAGATTGTGAATGAATGCCCGGCTTTCTGAATAGTTGGGGAAAGCTGGCCAATTAGGTAACCAGGCGGCGAGTCATTACCTGCCCCCTGGCTTCCTGATTGGCCAGAAAGCCGGCTCCATGCTCCCTCGTCACCTTGTGACGAGGGAGCATGGAGACGGCTTCCCTGCTAATCGGGCAGGCGGGCGGTGCGTCATTAAACGCCTTCCGACTAATCGGGAAGCTGGCCAGCTAGTCATTACATGCCGCCCGGCTTCCTTAATGGGACTTCTGGTATCAGCATTCGGTATTGCGGAGTACCGGGAAAAAAAATATTGGTACTTGATACCGAAAAACCATCATCAGTGCATCCCTAATGAATATAAGCACTCTGTGTATTTTAAAATCTTCTTCTGCTTTTTGGACTTTTGTAGTAAACATGTTTGTTTCTGCCTGCAAGCCTTTTGTTTTCTTGTACAAGTGATATATATTCATTCATTTTCTATAGTGTCGCCTTGTCTTTTGTAAGCGTATTTTTCTTCCCCCTCCAAACTGTTCCTATTTTTCTTTTCATCTATAAGAAATGAAAACTTCCCTCCCAGTTTTGGTCCTATGTTTCATGCTATTAATTAGAGAGCTGCATATTGTTTGATATTCTGTTACGGCAATACTTCACCGCATGAAAAAGACACAAGCTATGCACTCTCGGAGTTATGTGTCTTTAATGAAGCAACATTATAATTATGTTCCCATTATCCCAGGCACTTGTGTTGCCTTCTGATTCACGTTGATACGGCCAATTAGTGCAAAATACCTTGTTTTTTTCCCCCGTTTTTTTTCCCCTTCTTCTCTGCCACATCTTAATATTTGAATGGCCTGTTTTCTCAGAGGTGTTAATAAAATTTTAGAAGGAGGGTTGGGGGTCTGGGTTCGCTTCTTTTTGGAAGAGTATGAAATAGGGCATTAAGTTTTGCTTCAATGGTTTACAAAAATGAATGCGCAGCACAGTGTAGGGGTGAGGAGAGGGGGTGCTGGCTGGTGAAAGTGTTTAAAAGGGAACTTCGCAGTATATTTGGATTTTTTAAATAAAACCAACTGCCAGAATATTGCAGACGATTCGTGTAATTGCATTAGGAGCACACACTAATTGCTGCATTAATGACAATATCTGCTTTCCGTGACCTCAGCCAGCCGGCCGCGAGCTCTGCCCAGTCTGCCGGCCGCTACCTCCTGTGTGTCCCGTGGCTGCTGTGATCTCTGGGCATCTGCATTTGCCGGCCTGACCTCTGCCCAGCAGCGTGTGCTTGCCCTGTTTGTCAGATTCTGCCTGCCCTACCCTCTGTACCTCAGCATCTGCTTATCAAATCTTCTGCACGTCCGATTTCACTTGCTGTAACTTCTACCCCTTGCGATATCTGTGTGCTAGCTTGTGCTTGCCATGCCCTGAGGATTCAGCTTATGTTTGCTGTGCATTAGACATATTGGCATGTGTGCTTGTGATGACCTTGAGTGGGCAGTGTATGTCTTCGTGATCCCAAATCTTAGCTGTAAGGGTGTGCTTGCTGTGACCTTGAGGTGTAAGTCTGTGATCTTGCATTATCCGTGTGCACTGTAGCGGGTTATGTGTGCTTGCTTTGACTTTCAGATGACAGTGCATGCTTGCCGTGGCCTTTAGAGTGGCACAGCATGTGCATGTTGTGACCTTGGACAGTCTTGGTGAGTTATCCTTAATGTTAGGATGACTCACTGTGTGCTTGGGTTCAGCTGGCGATATCGCAGTTCCTGTGTCCTTCAGATGACATCTGGAACTTGCTGTGTTCCTGACTTAAGGTACTCCTTGCTGCAATCTCATCAGTGTGTAGTTGGTGAGATCTTAAAGTATAATTTAGTATACTCACTTTTTGGCATATATCTACTGCTAGCAAGCAGTAGATATATGCCCCGTGATTAAAAAAAAAAATTGAAAAAATCAGGCAAATACCTAATTACTTCCCAGTTCCAGTGCCGCTCATTCCAGGCTGAAGCACTCCTGGCTCCTGAACGGGTGCAGGTGCAGTAGAGGGGAGAGGAGAGAAAATAAAACTCAATGGACGCAGCCGGGAGCTCGGACACCGTGGGACTGCTGTGGATCAGAGACTGGCACCAGTGCTGGAGGGACTGTTGGAAACGAGTGGAAGGAAGAAGATTGCATCAATCACCAGCATTGGGGGGGCGACTTTTATGTAATTTTAAGATGTCACAGCATGTACTCTTTGTTACCTTGAGATGTTGTGGCGTATGCTTGCCTATACACCTGCAGGTTATCCACAGAGAAATTGTTTTAGACCTTCTCTTCTGATTCATCACCTTTGTATTTATATGCCAAGGTTAAGAACTTCTGTCATTTGGAACAGCCTGAGGACCCTAAAAGGTGTGCATGAGGTTCATCTATAATAGCTTTCATTCTCCTCTGAGTGGTAAACATTAACCAGAAAATGTGTACAGAAAAATCTTAGCTGACTGATCTACCCGTGTACAGGAACCGAGAAACAGAAATATAATTTAAAGCCTTTTCACCAGTATTGGTATACAAAGTACCCCCAGATGTGAAGAGGTACGGATATTAAACAATTGTGTTTTTTTTTTTTTTATTCTGCAGACATCTAGACCATCACAAGCTATGGGAGTCAAACGAGTTTGCTGTTTCCTGCTTTAAAATTATCATGTACTCTATTCAGGTAAGTCTTTGGGAAGCACTTTCATGGTCAGGTTAGAAGTTATATATTTTTATGACTGCATGGTAGTACACTCTACTGCTTTTAAAATAAATGTTTATTGTAGGGGATAGCTAGTAGTAGTTACATTCAACTGGACTTGTAATGTTGAAGATGTTTTGTAGCCACTTCTTTAGTTCCCATGAGTGTCGGGAACATAAGGCAACATTCATATCCACACAGGTAGAACAGACCCCTAATGCAATCACAACGTCAAGGCAGATGTTGATTGTCCAAGAAGGGGATGGGAGGTGGGAATGTTGTGGAATCCCCCTCCTGTTCTGTTCTAGTTTGCTTTAGTTAAAGGAACAGGGTGGTTCCACAACTTTCACACCTCTTGGACAATCAACATCAGCACATTCCATGGAGATTGGATTAAGGCGCCTGTTCTACCTGTGTGATTATAAAGGTTGGGTATGTTCCTGACACACATTAGGACTAAAGAAGTGGCTTGGAGAAGCTACAAAACGTCTTCTTACAGAACAAATCCAGTTGAATGTGACTACTACTAGCTATACCATGACCTGGATTAATGAGATTAAAAGAAAAGTAAAGCCAAACCTTTTTTTTGGCTTTACTTCTCTTTGGGGTCACAGGGGTACACTTACTAATGTACTCTTGTGACCCATAATCAGATGATATTGGGCTATTGCCTGCTCTCTTTTGACTGGGCAGAGCTGTCCACAGTTCAGAAGGACCACCCCGGCTGCCTAATTGACAGCTGGCTCTGCCTCTCTGCATGTGGCTGAGATCCCGAGACTGGAATCCCTGCCGAGGGTTGTGAATGACCGTCACTGACCTCTACCAGGAGCAGAGGCCAAGAGCTGACTGATCAGCAGTCATGTCATTGGTCAGCTCTCGGTCTGTGTGGGACAGCTGTCGTGTCCCACTGCAGCTCTAAGCTTCGGGTAGAATGTTTTACTCTCCACGCTCTTCTCTTACAGTCACTGTTATCAGTTCACATTGGCTTGAGGGCAATGAATGTTTTAATTCCCTTCACAACTACTTATGTTTGTGAACCATTGATTGTGTTATATATGAAATCACAGCTGTATTGGGTTTGTTGTTTTGGAACTACACTGTGCCACCGTAACGGTACCCTCCTATGTTTTACAGGCTCAGTACTCTCATCATGTGATCCAGCAGATCCTTGGGCACCTGAATTTTCACAAGAGGGCTTCTCCTCGCATACGAGCAGGCATTGTGCAGGTTCTTCTTGAAGCGGTCGCCATTGCTGCTAAAGGCTCCATCGGTACATATGCTACTGTATAATCTTCTCTTCTGCTTGTAATATCTGCATCATCCTAAAATGTATGTAAAGGCAAGAAAAAGTGAGGGGAAATCCAAAATGTCGAGTTGTCCCGAGAATAGGAGGTGAAGCAAAATGGAGAAAATCTTAGCTATAGAAAAGGGTAGTTTTTCACAATTTGTAGAGATTTTCCCTTCCTGTTACGTGTCTGCAGGTCAGGAAGTGAAGGGGTATCGCCCTCAAATTGACGTTGTTTTAACCATTCCATATTCTGTCATGATCGCTTTACATATACCTCTGGACCCCTGCTTTAGACTATGGAGTTGGTGTTATATTGCAGATCTTTACCCCCATATGGTCACTTGGATACAGAAAAGCTAAATTTGCAGATACACCCATTATAGAAGGAATTTTGGGAGGGAGATATTGAGGCCCGATAGCCAGTTGCAGCTTCTTTGTTAAACGTGGGGGAGGTCCCTATTGACACAAAAAGTTGGTTACACTTCCTTTTGAATTAATAAGGCACATGTCAACCTTTTTATGTTTATTATTTTAAGTTAAAAGAATACTGCCCCTGAGCCCCATAATGCAACTTAAGGTCCCATTCACACTGAGCGATTTTGCGCGATATCGTGGATATTTACCGCGCGATATCGCTCTCCAATGCATGGAAATGGGGCTCTGTCCGTCGCTGTCGCTGGTTGTGCGTCGCTACAGCAGGACCCTTTTTGGAGCGGATTTTGCCGCAATTCTAGTTTGCTCAATGTAACCATTGCGATATCGCGCAAAATTTAAATCGCGCGACAAACGCGCGATTTGCAAATCGCTCAGTGTGAATGGGGCCTAAAATGTAAGCAGAAATCACACGTTCTCCATGTTATTGTAGATTGCAGAGATTGTGTTGTTATCAGAGTCTGCTGTGGGTAAGAGGCATTACCGTTTTTTTTTTTTTTTAAAGCATCAATAAAATTGGTAAAAACTTGATCCCAATGATGAGTATATGTAGAAAACATGAAGAATATTCTACTTATAGCCGATAGTTAATAATGCAATATATGGGGGGGCTCCAGATGCTTGAAGGGAATGTATGGGCAGTACTTTTCTTTAAAAATCCTGCAAGGAAAGAAAAATGCTCGTTGGTCTTCCAGAACTCCAATGAGCTCCTAAATTTCCATTTTCAGCCATGCCTGCTAGACTACAGAACTCTGCCTATCCCCCTGCCCTTCTCTGTTCCTCTCCACATGCATACATTGATTTATTTCCCAGCAAAACCATGCTACTACCATGACTCCAAAGAGCCTTGCCTACACATGGCGTGTAAGGGAAGGGTTCTTGGGAGATGAAGTACTGGGGGCGTGCCCAAGTTGGTAGGAACTGACCTCACAGAGCTGCCCCTGCAAGAATTTTACAAGAATGGAGATTGTCACTGGGAGTAATGAAAGCTGTTTCTGACTACAGGAAAAAGAAAAACACTGAGGACATGAGCTAGGGAGGCAGAGGGAGGTATGGAGATAAATATGGGTAATGCCTGGACATACTCTTTAACATCCTTCTCCCAAAATGTATTACGAAAAAAGCCTACTTGTATGGTATAAAATGTAATGCATTTACTAATTTCTTTGGAAGCTTCCAGCACATTTCAGGCTCCCTAGATGGCAACATGCGACAAGTTCTTAAGCTGGGCATGCTTTGCTCAGTTTTTTTTTTTTTTTTTTCTTGTTCTGCCCACGGTTTTTAATTCGACTTTTGTCGAGTCGCTTGCAGGACCACCCACAACCAATTCAGTAGGAATCGGCCAATATTCAAGCAGTCTATGGTCAGCCTTGGCTAAAGAATGAACAGCTTAGCTGCCCACTTTGGGCAACTGTTATTTGGAAACTGAGCTCTAAAATCCATTCCCACGCAGCACAGAGACTTTTCTGTTTTCTTTTTTCCCCCTAGTTTTTATACTTATCTCCTGTAAAAATTAGTTTGGATACAAAGTAAATGCCATTCGTGGTAAAAATAGCTCTTCCTGTTATTTTAAATGGACAAAAACAATTTTTTTTCATGTTCACTCTGCTTTTTGTGCAGTATGTTTTTGGCATATCCTTACGTGACTTTTTGTTTTTTTTAGCAGCCGGGTTTTTAACCAGTTGACATCCGCGGTGTTAAACCTCCTTCCCATCCAGGCCATTTTTCAGTATTCAGCGCTGCGGTACTTTGACTGACATTTATTCCGTCATGCAGCGCTGTACTGAAATGAATTGTATACCCTTTTTTGGGGACAGATAGAGCTTTCTTTTGGTGGTATTTATTCACCACTGGGGGTTTTATTTTTTTATATATGAAGGAAAAAATTACAGATTTTTAAAAAAAAAAACAGTTTCCCCTATATTAAATTCTAAAACATTTATAATTTCCCAATTTTTTGGTAAAATATAAAAGACGGGGTCTAGTCGGGTAAAGAGACACTAAACATGTCAAGCCTTGCGCGCGAAACCTCAAAAAAACTAAATTACCCAAAATTGGCCATAGGCGACGCTTTAAAAGCTGTTACCGCTCATCAGTTTAGTGTTATCAGTGATTGATGGCCCTAAAAT